AACTTGTACTACAAGTGGTGTAAGAGAATAAAAATAATGAAAAAACTGAAAATATCAACATAGTGTACATACTGTGCCGAAATACTTCTTAATCACGCACGAACCGGAGCATTCTTCCAGCACGTTAGTCGGTTCAGATTAGCTATTTAAAAATGTTTTTTTGGAATTTGCTGAAAAATAAAATCCGTTTAACAGGAAATCTCGTTTGACGAAATGAATTTCTTGTAGAAAAAGAGAGGAAAAAGAATCGAAATATTCGAATCCCGTAAACGATTTCTTTGCGGCATAGTTTTGATTTCGCAGGTTTTTATCTCAGTGCAAGGTTAATCTTTAAAAATTTCGTGACAGTTCTTAAATGCTATATGCCCTTCACATGGACTGTTTGTTATATTAATAAACCATTTATTATTATTATTATTATTATTATTATTATTATTATTATTAATTTCGCCAGAGAAATAAATTCCAAGACTAAACTCTTAAAAGCACTAGCGTCTAAGGCTATCGGCTTTTATTAAAAACTCTACCGCACTTGAGATTCGAACCCACGACCATTGACTTGCTAGTCGAGATTACTCGCCTTCGGCTACTCAGGCGGATAATAAACCATTTAAATCAAATTAAAATTACGAAATCGAACCATCGCCATTTATAAACAAGCAAATTTCATCGAGGGCCCTGACAACTAGCATGATGTCAGCTTACAATTTAGCTGTCAATAAAAACTTTCGTTTGTTTGAAAAACATCGATTGCTATTACATTTAAATAGACGATAGATAGAATATTAGATTTTGGTTAAAAATCGATCAATTTTAATTTAGATCGTTTATTAAGAAAGCAGATCAGTATATACGTTTTAAAAAATCAAGTTTTTTTTTCCAAAATATGTGGATAAAAATTCATGACTCGCATGGAATTTTTGCTTTGAAATATTGTGCTTTTTGCGGAAGAGGCCACATGCATGTTACAAACATGTTTTACCTGCTGATTTGTAATTTCTCAAAATACTTTAACAAATCTCTTAAGAAGGAATTTATCTTCATTTGCGATCGTTTCCGAACACAAATTCTTTAGAGTAGCTTCAAGGAGACATTCGTTAGGTGGTAACAAAGGTGCGAGCGATTTGAAATCTTCCAATGTTTTTACCAAGAAATTAAAAGTTTCGGATGAGTTCCTTTGATGTTGTCTATGAGTCCGTTATTAAATTATGCACTTTCCCGCCCTCTTCTACACGGAAAGTGTAAAACCTATGCATTTTGTCTTTTCCAGACAGATCAAAACAGCGAGCAGAAAACGAGAAGAAACATTTGAATTTGGAAAGGCAGTTTTATAGTCCTCGAATCGCATACGAATAGAAAGAAAAAAGAATGAAAATTTATTATGAAACAAAAACATGTACTTAACACTTGTCCAAATTTTCGAAACACACCTTTTGAAATCGGCAAGCAGTCGAACTCAAACAATTTTCATCCTTTTCACTCGAATTTTTTACTGTATCTTCAAAACAAAATTTTCTTTGCACTCTTCTACAAAAATACACGCGAACTGCACAAAAGTCAATGTCTTCCAAAACTTCTACGTGTGTTTCACTGAATACGCGGAACGTAGATTAAATGATTTTTCTTTTAAATTCAAATATCGACTTGGTTGTGCTGCTTGCTGCGGAAAGCCTTGAGCTGAAGATGTCTCCAGAGAGTGGCGGCTGTGTTGGCAATATTTTTCAGAA